TCGGATCCGCTCTTACGAACGGGGCGGTCTCGCCCCGGAGGTCGAGGTAGCGGATTGCTACCTGCGAGCTCCAGGGCGAGAAAGCCCCGTTCGTAAGCTGCTCCGGTGCCCCTGGTCTGCTGGAGCAAAGCCTCAGAAGCGCGGGAACCGCTGCTGCTGCCGCTTGAGACCCGGTGCCTGTGGTCTGCTGCTTTGCTCTGGCAAAGCCTCAGAAGCGCGGGAACCCGCCCGCTGCTGCCGCTTGGGTCCCGGTGCCTGTGGTCTGCTGGGGACGGTCCCCAGCAGACCACAGGCACCGGCACCCAAGTGGCAGCAGCAGCGGTTCCCGCGCTTCCGAGGCTTTGCTCTGGCAAAGCCTCAGAAGCGCGGGAACCCGCCCGGTGCCCCTGGTCTGCTGGAGACGGTCTCCAGCAGACCAGGGGCACCAGAGCAGCTTACGAACGGGGCTTTCTCGCCCCGACTTCGGGGGCGAGAAAGCTCCGTTCGTAAGTGCGGATCCGACGTAAGTCGGATCCGCGTAAGTCGGGGACTGCCTGTATTCATTGCATTCACGGAGGAGACTATTTCTGGGGAGTAGCGGCAGTCGTGTCAGTGTAGATCTTAATACATCTTTATTCTTGTTGTAAAGAAGGAAAGCTTCAGGAAAGGAGCTAGACTAAGAGTAGCATAAATGTGAAATCCTAAGTATTTGAATTTGCTTAGCAGTGACCACCTTCCCACTTTTTCCTGTTGAGGTGCCTCTATTTTGATCTAGAGGGATCACCTCTAAGGAATGAGAAGACAATATTAAATAAAATATGCTACTGTAAGTCTATTTAAGACCTCTGCTTTTCTGGAAAAAGGGCAAAGGGGACACAAAACTAGTATCCAAATCATACAGGGATAAGACTAACTAAATTAAATGCACCAATATTTGGATCCCCCTAGTAGACTTATACAATCTTGTTAAACTGGACTAAGTAATGCTTGTTAACTGGAAAATCTGGCTGAAATAACTGTAAAGTCAATATGACATATTTATATAGTCTTGCTTGCAAGTGTCTACTTTCGTATTCTAGAATTGGATTTTTTACTGAAACCTGATAAGGTGATTCATAAGATTAGAATGCTAAAAATCAATAGTTATATACTATTTAGTAAGGATAAAACAGGCAAAAAGGATGGGAGAATGGCACTGTGTCAAAAATGACACTACCAGTTACTGTGTCAAAAATGACACTACCAGTTTCTGATAATCTGGAAGAAAACAATCTTGAATGATTGATTGTCCTGATAGATAAAGTACAAGATAGGGTATTAGTTGGTGTTGGCTATAAACACCAGATGACTCTATGGAACAGGATGACTGTTTTCTTATGCACCTATGTATATGTGTATATGGAGATGGCTTGAAAAAGTTGTACGATTATTGGGGATGTCTGTTTGAATGACGCAACTGGAGTTCTCATACTGCAGATATAAAAACATGCGTAGAATGTCTGAATATTACAGATCACAATTTCCTAACTCAAAAAGTGTTGCAGCCAACACAAGAGAAGGTCTATTATAGAATTCCCACAAAAGATGAGGGCTAGATCACAAACCTAAAATTGATGATAACTTAAGCCCGGGGTTTAAAATTCCTGACCTGCGAGCCAGCCCCGACTGGAGAAGTTGCGCAATTTGGCCCAGGAGTCCCAGCAGTCCAAGAGGCCTATCTGTTCCTGCCCCCTCCCCCTCCCCCTCCTCCTCCCCCCCCCCCCCCCCCCCCAAACTCCACCCCTATCTGCCATCACCCCATCCTCCTCCCTCCCATGGCACCCCATCTCCCCAAGGGATGCAGCCTCGGGGATTACTCGGGGCAGGGGAGAGGGGGGTTGGTGCAGGGCGGCATCATTGGTCGGGCTCTCCACTCCCTGCAGTACAATGCAATTATCCAAAGCTGAAAATTTAGCTTAGACACCTTAACTAAAATTTTCCAATCTGAGGCCTGAATCTGGGTTTAGGTATATAAATAAAGTGGCCTCTCTTTTCAGAGTTATGGCACGCTAACACAATGGATTTAGATACCTGACTTGAGGTGCACTCATATCTGTAAAATTTATTGCAGAACTTAACCCCACCTTGATTTCTACAACCAACCATTTTATATTGGTCCTAGGCTTTTATTAGTTATAAGAATAAAACTTGATGTACTCATATGGTCAGTGGGTATGCCTAAAACGTCTTGATTTTTTTAAGGACAGATACTGCTATCATATTACTTATGTTATGTTCTCCTTGTCTTTTAAAATTTAGATGGAAGAAGGAAGTAAAAATGTGCGTCTGGGAACAATAATTGGTTTGCTGGTAGAAGAAGGACAGAATTGGAAGCAGGTTGAAATACCAGCAGAGACTGGTGATCCATCCTCAATGGCACCCCTGATGGCTCCGCCTGTAGCTGCACCTGCTTCCCCTTCAGTAGGCATTTTAGCTTCAGCCGCTACCAAAATGGAACATGGGCTTAGAAAACTACCGTGAGTTTCTGGATCCCTCATGAACAGTACTTTCAATGCAATATTTGAGTGTACTGGCACTATAGCTATGGCTCAGTTCATTCCTTTTGTAACTTAAGGATATCAGTGGAGATACACCAGGGATGAATTTTGTCTCCTGGTAGCTAAAATCAAAGTTTTCTTTGAGAGACTTTTAAATTTGTCAGGTTTGTTTAGGCCTTGTCTACAAAGGAAGATTTTGTTTTCTATGACCTTAGATATGAATTTAAATCAATATAATTATACAATACAGCTCCCTATGTGAACATTCATATTCTGTTATGCAAAGGATTTTTTTTTTTTTTTAATTTTAACTTCCGTCACATAGGAAGGATGTTAAGCTAAAACGAAAAAAATTATTTCTCTTATGGGAATAAGAGTGCCATGTAAAGGGTTCTCATTAGAGGGCGTGGAGTATTCAAATTGACTTAAGCGTATAAATTTGTAAGGACACTGTGGTAATAAACAATCAAAACCTCATCACTAATGAAGACTGCAGAGAACACAAAAATTGGGGAGGAATAAATGATGAAGAGGACAGGGCACAAAGCACTCTAGATTACTTGGTAAACTGGTCAGAAGCAAACAATATGTGTTTTTTATTATACTGTTGCCAAAAGGCTAATCTGATTCCTAGATATGTAAATAGGGAAATCTGGAGTAAGAGTAAAGGGTATTTTATCTCTTTATTGGTACTAGTGTGACCACTGCTGAAATACTGTGCTTAGTTCAGTTGCCCAAGAATGTTGATGATAATTTAGAGAGGGTTCAGGAAAGAGAAATGAGAATGATTAAGGGAATAGAAAACATGCCTTATACTGATAGACTATTGGAGCTCAATATATTTCGCTTATCAAAGAGGGGGCTCAGGGAAGATTTGACAATAGTACCTATATGGGGAACAATTTTTTAGTAATGGACTCTTCAGCATAGCAGAGAAAGGTATAACATGATCCAGTGGCAGGAATTGAAGCTAGACAAATTCAGCCTGGAAATGAGATGTAAATTTTTAACACTGAAAATAATTAACTATCGAAGCACTAATGGATTTTTTCCATCACTGACAATTTCTCTGTCAATGCTGCATTTTTTTTTCTAAAAAGCGATGTTCTAGAAACTATTTTTGGAATGTTGTATGGCCTGTGTCATACAACAGAAATGACTAGATCATCATAGTAGTCCCTTCTGGCCTTGTAATCTCTGAATTTATGAATGAGTTACCAAAAGTATCAGAAGTCTATAAAGGACAGTGCTGGTATTCAAAAAGAGCTTGACAATTTGACATTAGAGCACTAAATAGAGTTAAATAAAGTACATAGTCATTTCTGAATGTTAGAACAGGAAATGATTCAGTGATGCTCCTTATCATAAATGACGACTAATTTAAAATCAAATTAACATCTTTAATGATTTACATTGCTTGTCAAGCTGTTACTACAACACTAAGCATTTTTGTGGGTTCAAAGGGCGCTAATCCTACCAGTCATTCTGTATAGCTATGCAATGCATTCCTTCAAGAATTGGGGAAATAATCAAGGACTAATGTTGCTGTGTTGTTTTTGCTAAATTAACTTTTGTTTCTAAGAATTCTAAAGTCTGTCTGGGTTCACTGTGTTCTCTGGATTTTTTTTCTCCAATATACCTCTCAGTTAAAATGTAGAATTGGGTTATGATGTAACCTTTGTAGTTTCTGAATAGTAGTGGAGATCAGTGTTATGTGCTGTAGATTATATGCTTAACTTCGTCTCCATCTGGAAAGTTCCTGCAAAGCACATCCTACATGAGTTAAGATGACACAGATACAAGTTTATACTGTTTGAGAGTGGAAGGAAACTGCATTAAACTGTTAAAGCAGAAAATGAGATTAAAATTATTTGCATAAATTGCTTATTTTTCAATCCAGATCTTTTATACTTCACGATGTTTGTTCAGTAAATGAGTATAAAAGTAAAACTTGAATATATTAAATATAAAGGTTGTTATGACTGAAATTAGACCACAAACAGTACTAATCATGTAGTTGTCACCACACCACCTACTGTAAAAGATGAGCAAACCTGTGTGGGTATGTATACTCTGCCATTAAAACCTGTGGAAGGCCAGTACCAGCGGGCTTGGGCTGCAGGGTGGTTTAATTGTGGTGTAAATGTCTGGACATGGCCTGGGCTTTATGACCTTGCAAGGTGGGAGTGTCCCAGATCTTGGGCTTCTGCCAGAGCCAGAATGTCTGTCTATACCGCAATTGAACAACCTGTAGTCCAAGCCCTACGAGCCTGAGTCTGCTGGCAAAACAGGACCAGCTGCAGGTGTTTAATTGCAATATAGACCTACGGTGTGAGCTGAAGGTAGCTCAGGAGAGATTCAAATGCTGCCCAGCTGATTAGCAGAGCTCCCACAGCTAGATTTTGTGTCTGTTGGAGGGGTACATTTGTACAGTGCACATAGAAACATTTATTGAGCACATAGATGGAAAAAATTCACACATGGATGAGATAGATTAGAGGGACCATTGCCTGTGAGATAGTAAATATAAAGGGTCAGCTCCTCCAATGCAGCAGAGCTCCATTATGCTGCCCTAACAAGAAATTATTTATGCAGCCAGCATATCTGTCTCTGTGGCAATCACCTGTTTACATGGGGATCCTCCAGTCATGTGGAGGCTCCTAAGTCACCCTATTCCTTGCTGCTAGTATAAGCTAGATAGTTGGGATCTCTGACACAGCGATGATGCCCAGCCGTGGTTTCAGCTCTTTGGGGTCACCTAGTAGCTGTATGTAATCTCCAGGTTTTGCTAAGCTGGTATAACGGGGCTAGTCCTTCACATTACAGTCCTGAGGTCTGGGGAGTACAAAGGTGAAATTTATACTTTTGTTGTGCACAGATTTGCACTGCATCCCCCACTGCTGGAGCTGAGGCTCTAGATAATAGCATGTAATATACAGAACCTTTTGACATATTGTGTGTGAAACACATTCACCAAACCCTATTATTTAGATGTTTTTCTGTTTTCATTTTCAGAGTTCGCTTAAGTCCTGCTGCCCGCTACATTGTGGAGACGCATGGACTTGACCCAAATAATATTATTCCCTCTGGGCCTCGAGGAATCCTCACTAAAGAGTATGTATATAATTAATCCAAGTACTTTTATTCATTTTCTTGGTTAAAGCATAGCCTAAATTCTATGGTGTTCAGCACATGGGACCCACTTGTTCTCTCAACCTTTTCTTTAGGGGAACTGATTGTTTGGATAACCAACATAGAATGTGAGAGGCTCGGTTAGGTGACAGTATAAGAAGCTGGCATTTTAATTTGTATGATCTTGGGGACAGGGATTGTCCAGCCCTGTGACAGCTGGGGAAGAGAGCACAGACCTTGCATTTCCCTATCCCAGCGATGGGGTACCTGTGGTGTATGGACCGAATTTGGCTCCCAGCTTTTTTAATTTGGCTAGTTATAACATCACATAATAAATGAAAGATAAAATAAAGTAATTGGCTTACACTGTTCATCTCATCAGACACAAGAATTCATCTGTGGAGTCCATGGTCTGATTACCTTTCCTTTTATTAGAGGCAGGCTAAAGACATGAAACTTTTATACTTGAAATTCCTCAAAGTTTAAAGGGCTTAGGCTTCCAGCATTCTGTCTCATAGCTATCTGTCTTTAGCTTGTCTTTAATTCTCTTGTATGTTGGGAATTCTGGGATGGTTTAATGTGCTCGTTATATGCTTTGGCCACACCCCACACTCCATTAAAATGTGGCTTCAGTCAAGCCATGCAGCCGCTTTTAGTGTTGGGCATACATGTGTTAACTTTAAGGGATTCCTGACCTTGAAGTGATGCATTTCAAATCTGCATATACTTTGTGGGAAGGGTTTCCTTCAGGGAGCTGATTTTGTTCTGGATAAAATCACTCCCTTTCTAGGTGAACACCCATTATGCTTTATATACCTGTTGAACTGCTCTAATGTTGGCTTAATACGGTTTGAAACCTTATCTCAAATATAAGGTTAGTTGGGCTTGAACTGAACACAGTAACAAAACAAACAATGGAAGTGTTTCTTTTCATAACCTCTTTTTCCTACAGAGTCTGGCCTGTTGGATTACATAGTGAGTTGAGTGGATGGGGTATCATTTTGTAATAGCAGCACATTGTCAGAAAGCTTTTTAATTATACAAGTTTAACCGTAATTTATGGTGTGTAACTAGTCTATGGCAGGTGGGACTCTGAGCTATCTAATTAACATCCCCTAGTTGTCATGGAGATGTACCACAGATTCTGCTAGGAAGGTAATTATTACAGCTACAAAAATGTCCCTCTTAAAACTTGTTTAATCTGTTCAAAGACGTTGACTCAGAAATGTCATTTTAAAGCTATATCCTGCTGGTTTAACCATTATTTTAAAATAGAGAAGTGTTGTAAGTACCCACAGACCTCCTCTGTTTGTTACTGTCTGAAAAGAAAAGTTTGCATATATCTGTACATAGGCACTGTGTGATTTCATGCAAACATACAATATTTCTTCCAACTCAGCAAAATACATGCTGTGTGGCACAGAGCCCACATGGATGTATTTAAAAACAGATATGATGGGTAAGCAACCTGAATATTCACTGTTGGCCACCAAAATACAAGAGTCATAGAAGTGTAAAACCACGAAGAGAGGTGGACATTAAATGAAGGTTTGTTTCTACCAACTTGGTATCCCCAAAATAATATGCAACTTAAGAGACAACTGAAGGCCGAGGATGTAACCTTGACAGAGCTGTACTGCATCATAGTCTGCTCTTTTTAGCAGATTGATTTCTTTCTTTTCTCTGGGACCTACAGGAAGCTTAACTTAAGCCTGAAAACTTTCTCTCTTTGCCCTTGAGCCTTGTGAGCAGGTACACAAAGGGAAATGCTGGTTTCCCCCCACCCCCAAAGGTATTTATTGCAATCGTTTTTTTGCAAAACTTTCAGATTTGTGGCCATAAATTCCAAGTAACTAGATTGATCAAATTACTATCATGATTTATCCCAGTCTGAAATTGTACAGCCCCCATTCAACAATGTAATGAGTGTGAATAATGGTTGAGAAGTTTATTTTACTGAATCAGATTCTGACTATAATCCAGTCCTGATGTTCACCCATTTGGTGGTATAGAAGAAGACACCTCATCAGCTCCAAAGAAAAAGACTGGAAGATAATGGAAGAAAGTGTGGGATACTATAGGGTGTGGCCTTTTAGAAGGCTCAAAGTCATACTCATAAAATGAACACAGATGTTCCATTGAAATGAGATTTCCTCTTCCCACTGACCCAGAGGTAACTTTTTTTTAAAATGGTACACAAAGGAAAAAAAGGAGGAAAAGAAAAATGTCTCCTAATTTCTACTGTCTTTGTGCTAATCTTCTTAGCAAATGTATCATCCATTCTTAATGGCTAGTTTGTAGTTTTTAATTTATATTATTTCTTTAAAAATTAGGTAAAGAAATTAATACCTTGGACAATTAATACCTTGCATTTTCTCTAAGTTCTGCACAGTGTAACTTGTTAGCATTTGTCAACCCCTTGTCTTCTGGGTCCTGCTAATATTTAGCCTAATTTCAGTTAGTTTTATTCATTTCTCCACATAGCTCTGCCAGTGCATTGATCTTAACATGCCACATCCACACTTCTAATCCTGAGATCTCTCTGGAAGTAACACATTACATGGTGGCTTAGTGGTATCAATAACTATCACAATGAGATAAATTTGTTAATTCCAAACACTTGAGACATCCAGAGGGAAAACCATCAGTTCTTGAGTCCTTGTGTTAAGCAAAGAAAGCCTAGTAGATTAAATTATTGAACTCTTGGCTTTAATTCTTTGAACATATTTTGCTATAGTAATTTAACTACAGCTTGTTTCTGCTGGAAATGGAAGACGACAGTAAAAAGTATACAACTTTAATAATTGGTTATAATTTCTGAACCAGTTTACACACTGATGTTTGTGTGGTTTGAGCATCTGCCTTTCAGTTGAATATTAATTTGCTAACAATCTTTCTCTGTAGCTTTTTGTCAAACGTATCTTAGTGACTTAGGCATGTTAGTGTATTTTTTTGTCTTAAAGCTGTGACTATAATTACAACAATTTCAAATTAGCACAAGTATCCTTACAGCCCTAATACACCTCCTCATTTCAACTATGGCTTCCTCTCTTCCCTCTCTCAAAATGCAACCCAGAGACCCTTCCCACCATTGCCTACTTTCAGTGCTCCCAGTTGTGTAAAAGTATAGAAGATGTTTTCCTTCTAGATATTTCAACAACCTCAAAATTGGAAATAATTATTATCTAAAACAATCCACATGGTAGTGTTTCCTACATATAGAGTATTGGTTTCAATTTTCACTTACATCACTGGTTTGCTCTCACTTTCTGTCTATGTATCAGTTTCCACATCTATCAAGTGAGGACTTTATTCACAGCTCTGTGTAGATTAATTGTTTGTATTGTAAAATGCTTTGAGGCCTATGTTAAGACACCATAAAAGTGAAAAGTACTTGTAGATTTTTATCCTTTAAATTTGTGTTTCAATGAAAATCTGCGAATTAAAAAAAAACTTGCATTCTGTCACTGTTTTTACTAAATAGCAATTCACAATGTATAATTTAATTTACAAGATGCCCTTGATCAGTAGATGAACATTTTCCATGCAAGCTAAGGGAAACAATTTAGTTGTATGGTAAGCATTTATATAGTGTAGCCAATGTATCCAAAGTCTTTCAAAACTCAGATACCAGCTCTTATATAGAATGTTTTACAATAATATTTTATAGCACAAAAATCCGTTAATTATGAAAAAACTACTTCAGTCTCAGTATCTGTACTTAGGTGACTAAAATGCCTATCAAAAATGCAAAATCCATTACCATTTAGTTATATTTTTAAATAGCTGACTGTTCTTTCTGTACACTGTATTTAGGGCTGCTTAGACCATACCATTTAAGATATAAAAGTTGTATGGCTTTATTAATTGGATTTAAAAAGATCTTGCTCCATAATGTGAAAAGTAAAATAATTAACTGGTTTTGTTGTTTTTCACCTTAACTATCAACATGAAACATTATTTGTAATTTATGTTGATAGGTGGTTTTTGGTTTGCTTAGAAGAGAAGATATGGCTGTACATAACCAGTGCGTGAATCATACTGGAAAACACAATCAAGGAACTCTCATACTTCCTAGAGTCTTAAGCTGCCTAGTTTCACTCATTGATTGAAGGGAAGAGGAGACAAATAGTAATTGTGCACAATGACCAATTAGTTGCGTTTTGATAGGGCAATTCAGACGGATTGGGGAAGAGGTAGTGACCCAGCTCAGACTCAGTGGGCAACAGAGCAGATTGCATCAGTCTAAAGAGTGGCACAGCTTACACAATCAGGGTCTATATCAAAAGCCCAATAAAGTAAATAAAAGGACTTCAGTCACTTCCAGTTGCAATGGACCAGACCCTCACTGTTTATGCTGGGAAGCTCTGTGTTGCTCTGTACCCTTGGTCACTCCTTAACAGTGTAGCCTAGCTGATATCTTTTGCTGGGGTTTTTTCAGACTAAATTGCAGGTGGGATTTCTGGTTTTAAGGATAAAATTAAAAAAGCTTCTAAAGTAAGAGAAGTTTTGTCAGGGTGGATCCTGTGGGAGGTACATATGCACCTTGTATGTCCAAGACTGCACCTTTTGAATAGCATTGTCTATTGAGGCTGTACATGCAGTTTGTGCTGCCTCATATTCCTGTGTAAGGGCAGTAATCCAGAAAGGCTGGAGCAGTTGTGACCCTCACTCGTGCTGCCTGAGACAGAATGTAGGGGAGCATTCAGTCCACTCCTTGGAAATGTTAACATTCCTTTCTTTCCGCTCCATGGCTATAGCCTACAAAGAAAACTTATCTTAAAACTTCCATTTTCCTTTCTCTATCAAAATGTTAACACTCTTTGACCATCTTTCTTCCTTTCTGAGGCCAGATCTACACTAAAAAAGTTAAGTGAAAAAATCCACAACCCTGAGCAACGTAATTAAATGTACTTAACCTCCTCCCCATGTAGACAGCAGTCAGCTGATGGAAAAATTATTCTGGCAAGCAAGTTACCTCCTCTAAGGGAGGTGGATTAACTATAGTAACAGGAGAACCTTCCGATTGCCAGTGTAATGAATGGTTACACTGAAATGCTGCAGCATGCAGCCATGCAACTGTAGCAATTTAATTGTAAACCTGGCCTGTTTTTTCTGTCTCTCCTTGTTCTCTGGACATTGAGGTGGCTGAGGAACAGCACAGTACTATATAGCCACAACTAGTGATGCTAGAGTTCTCCTTAATAGTAACCACATACTGCAAGGTTTTGTTAATTTAGTAAAGTTTGCAGAATTGAGCCCTCTAAATGGTATTCTTTAGAATATTCTATTTCAATATGTCTATTTAAAATGTAAAATGTACAAATAGGCAATTGCAGTTGAACAAAAGGTGTCTAAATTATGCAGAGAACTTCCTAAATCTGAGCTTCTGCTAAATTAGTACTTCACATGGAGACTCTGAAAATATAATTTGAAAGGCTGCACATTTCTAAGTATCTGGGCCATCTTATTACAGTGGTGAAGTGAAGTGTAACACTGAGTTGCCAGTCTATATGGACTCCATGCAGTAACAATTTTGACAAGGAATATTTAATTACTTTTTTACTTGTGGTGGGAAGGAAAATGTGTGCTTACCAATGAACACTTGCAGTTTTGACATTACGTTTACCTGTCTTAAGATTTTCTTCCCTTTCTTTGTGCTGTGTTAATGGATTTTAAAAAAGGGTTTTAAAAGCAGGGTTGCTGCTAACTTCATTTAAAAAAAAATACTTTAGTAGTTTGATATGAGATGCCTGGTGTCCTCCGACCTGCTTTATTTGCAGGCCTCCATCTTAAGAATGTTTTAATTATACAGGTTGAACTTTTAAAATCCAGTGCTTTCTGGTCCGGCAAGATCCTGGATATTGCTGGACCAGAGAGGCCCAGTTGGCCAGGTTCAGAAGCGCAGCCTGGGCTGAGCTGGTGTGGTGGGGAGCATGGCCCTGGCCAAGGGTGTAGGAAGCGGAGCTGGCTGCCAGGAGCCCAGCCTCAGCTGGGGCAGGCACAGTGGCGAGTGCAGCACTATCTGGGGCTGGAGGCAGTAGAGCTGGCAGCCGAGCACGCAACCCAAGCTGGCATCATGGGGAAGGGGGGGCACAGCACCAGTTTGGCCTTGCAGCAGCAGGGCCAGCTCCTGTCTAGGCCTGGTGTGGTGGGGAATGTAGCCCCACCCAGGCCTGGCATGGTCGGGGGCAGGATGCAGCAGGGCAGGCAGCCTCAGCAGGGAGCCGTGTTGACAACTGCGACGGGACCCTTGACCTCCCTTGGTCTGTCCAACTCCATGGTTCGGGCCCAATTGGGTCGTGAGGGTGCCGGACCAGGGAGGTCCAACCTGTACCCTGTGACATTCATAAACTGTTTCCCCACCGTATCTTTTTATTAACCAGTTGAATTGCATACTTTTTGTATTAAGAAAGTTAATGTGTTGCATGTATAGGATTTAAAGACTTCTAAATGAATTTTCAAATTGAAAAATAAAGACTTGTTATCCTAATAATTTTATGTTTTTGGACAGTTAAAATCTGAGTCAATATTATGAAAATAACCAGATGGTTATTAATTAATACTTATTATTGCCATGTTAAAAAGCAGAAATAATTTTCTAATGTCTTTTTGTATCTGATTTGTGAGCATTTTCTCAGGAAAAACATCTACATTTTAAAAAAAAATTATTCAGTTAAAATTTTTCTTCTAGTACAGGACCTATATTAAATAGCAAATGCTTGATTTTTTTTTTTTTTTAAAGCAATGCCATTCAATGTGTGACTTTTTTTTTAAATTTGCAAGAGTAAGTAAATTGTTTATTAAGGGTGAAATTGCTTCCTTAGCTTAACCTGTTGTGCATAGGCACATCAACAAATAATGTTTCTGGTTGATTGTTATTGATCCTATAACAACTTCATTCCAACAGTGTGTATCAAAGCATTTTTGTACACCAGCGTGAAGGATGTTAATGCAACTGTTGAAATAGTGTCCGAGCTAACCAGCAAACAATAGTACATGTTTTATAGAACATATAAAAATAGTAGCTATTATTTTCCTTTAATTTATCAGCAATGGGGTATTATATTAAAAATAAACAAGTGTTGAGCCCACGGGGGGTTGGGAGCTGCAGGGGCTCCTGCTGGCTGACACTTCCAGTCCCAGTGCCCCAGGGCTACAGCATAAAATGTCACAGTGGTCTCTGGAAATCACCGATACCGTGTTCTCCATGACCTAATTTTAGCCTTATTTATAGATAGTTTGTTTTTCATTGTTCACAGTTAATTCAGTTATGTCTATGATCATTTATTGTAGAATAAACGAAACAGGTTTTATTTCCTGTGTCCCAAATATAATCTGAATGCCTGTCCCGTCTACTCCTATAACACCTTCTTCTTAAGAATTGGCAATACAATCCCCAGTATAGTTTAGCTACTGTTGTCTTTTAAAGATGATAAACATACTCCTGTTTCTCAACTGTCTTGTGCTGCTGCATGTTTAAATCCTAACATGGCAGGGGTGAATAATCTATAAACATTTATGGCATTTTTTCCTGCTCCTAGGAGTTGTCAGTTTGAAAATTATTATTGATTAAAATATAATTGCCTTTTAATTTCTAGTTTAATATCCAGAATTTTGTGAGCAGTTCCTGGCTAATTAAAGTTGACTCTTGAAATTGTAATACTGTATTTCATGTTTTGTGTGTATCTGCTATGCTTTGTCTTTTGTAATCATTTTTTCATATTATTGTTTAATCAACAGGGATGCACTCAATCTTCTGCAACAGAAACAGAAGAGCAAAGCTGCTGAATCAAGACCTGTAGTTTCCCCAGCCCCTCCTCAGCTTACCGTAGTGCCTTTGGCTCCACAAGCAACAACTGTGTCTTCTGTTTATCCGCGGCCCACATTTCCACCAATTTCTATACCTGGTCAGCCTGCAGCTCAGGTAATATTTCTGTTAAAGTAACAGCTTGCATTCAGTTAAAACTTCATAACACCTCATCTTTTTATTTAAAGAAAAAGAATAATGACAATATGATGAACTTCGTTTTAGTCAGTATTATCTAGCAATTGGAGACAAGGAGCTGGGATTTAGAATTCCTGGGTTTTATTCTAACTCTATCTCACTGTGAATTTAGTTATGCAGTTTAACTTCTCAGTCCTTATATATGCTCAGAAAAAGGTGTTTCTCCCCAATTGAATTAATACAATTAAGCTACTTTAACTGGACTGAAAACCACACAGTTTTAACTCATTTAGCATGACCCAGCTATATATCAAACCTCATAAAGACAAAGTGCACATTGTAAGTTGTTAGGTCAGTTGAGCGCAAGTGATCTTTTTTATCAACGTTGATCTCCCTTTTTAGAACCTTACCTCCCCCCAGAGTATATAAGGCCATAATGGCTAGGTTTCCTCAACAGGTACAATATACAATATGTGTATCTGATTATATGTATAACCCTTGAAGACTTTGAATAATAAAAGGCACATACATTCAAAATTCTATAAGTATAGATTAAAAATATATAGGTAAAGCATGTGGAGTGGGATTAGGCAAGAGTTAGAGGATTGGGGCTCAGTAAATATAAATGTTTGTGTTTTAAAACATCAAAATCTTGTGAGCCTTTCTTGGAATAGTTTGACTCGAAATGGCGGAAATATTGAAAGATCTATTATATGGAGTGGGGAGAATTCCACCATACCAGAATGTTTCCATATAAGGTCTGTGAAACTAGACCATTCTGGTTCTAGAACCAACCTTGAAGTAGAGCTGTAGGTTCAGGTCTGGTACCTGTTGATAGTTTATAAGAGTTATAGAATGTTTGGTGTTCTATGATGAACCACACAAAATGTTGTAGATTTTTTGGTAAGGGTAAAAAAGTAATAAAATTCTAGGCCTAAATATTTTTTTTCAGAAAATGGTGCTTTGTCTGCAGCTGTATCAAAACACACTGTGTTTGATTGTGAGGAATTGCTTGCAATATCATTCTTTTTCATCAAAAGGTTGGGAATGCTGAATTGTGATAAGTGAATAAATTCGGCAGGAGAGGCAGGTAGATGACAAAGAGGAGAGATGTACCATGAAACCTGTCTTAAGCAACCACTGAGAAGACAGAAAAATCGATAGCTCAACAGAGCTTCCACTAACAGTCTTCCACTAAAATAAAGGTGCAGCAGAACTGTTTAGCCCCCCAAGCTGCTGTAAAAAAGCAATGCTGATTTTATCAGCTGAGAACTAGGACTGATATTTTTGGAATAATTTCTATATCAGTACTCTGTAAACTGCAGTTGTCTTGTTCCTTATTGTCGCTACTTGGTTCGGTGATGTGATGGGAGCCCCCAGAGGTTAAAGCCTACTACCCAGTGAAAACTACTGGATGATGGTGAAACAAATGATTTTTTTATTAAGCAAAATGATTCTTTTATTAAAACCAAATGACTTTAAAATGAATTTTTAACAAGTAATTATCTAGTGCTTTTACAGGAGGGAAAAACTGAACCAAACTGCACTTAACTGATTACAAACTTTGTGATTATAATTCGTTTAAATTAAATTACTATCTCTAATTCGCTTAAGGCAGTGCAGCATGCAAGCAAAAAATACAAAAACAAAGCCAATATAATGATAATAAAAACTCCGTCCACAGCCCCTCTATGGTTATTTTAGGGCAGCTGGTGGAGTTAGTCATAAATCTATCTCTACAACTTAACAACTCCTGGGTTTCTATTTCTAACACTTATATTTGGCCTAAATACAACACCACTACACAACACAAGATTATACAATATACACAGTGTGGTTAATAGAACTCAGTTACACTCTACAGAATTACACAATGACATTAACATGATTCAACTATTAACTAAACCAATAACGAATATATTTAAGCAATACTTACAAATCCAGCAACGATAACAGCGTAGACACACTAGAACTCAGAGCATGCTCAGAACTTGCGCACCTCTATCTTTGACTCGAAGGGTGGGGAGGTTGCCTCAGGGTGATCAATCCTTCAGCTGGGCAAAAAGACACGTGCCCTCAATACATGGAACCGCCCTGAACGAAGGGGCCGAGGGTCTTTTATAACATAACCTGATATCTGGTACCTTATTAGGGTCTGTTCCCTGTCTGGGCCTGATAAGCTGGTAATGAGGTAATGTGCAATATTGCCCTATAGGATTTTTCATGATGCCTGGCTGATGGCGTTGTGGACAGTGCTGGGTGCAAGCATGGTCAGTGTGCATGGCAGTTGCATCTTATCTCCCTATGCCTACCTCCCTACCTTCAAGGACCGGTCAAGAGCGTCTTATCTATCTCTTGCAGTTGTGCTCTATCTTTTCATGCTCACCTCCCTGTTCTTAGATGCCTACAAGTTTAAATTCTGTTCACTGAAAGCTGCATTGTGCGCTTACAAGTTATGCTTTCTCAGTGTGTCAGCGGCCTACATTTTCTGTGAGGGGCCTTTGTGTGGCAGAATGGGCAATGCGCGCACGAGGCTGTGGTCAAAAGGACCTGCTCTGTGACACTTATTAGGGATAGGAAAGAAATATGGGCAAAATAATAGAAATCAAATCGATAAAAGAAACATTTTACCCTCCAAATGTATATGACAATGGAAATGTCTTTAAAGAAGACTGTTACTTGTCAGTACTGTGTGTATGGACCACCTGTCTTGAATTCCTGTATTTGCTGACAGTCAAGTATTTGTATAATGTTATAGAACTGAGGCTAGAATCTCTGTTTCATCCAGATTAAAACCTGGCAGGCATGGTGCAATGGAGCAAATATTCAGATTTTTTTCAGCCTTCATTTTGTTACACTTCAGCTTTATGGAGCAAGATAAAACAATACTGCAGTGTGTTAATTTCCTGGGATCTATATAGCCTATTTTGCTGGTCTGATTAGGATTTTTCTGTCTGGGAAATTCAATTTTTTAAATTTAATCTTAGATGTGTTAATACTAGCTAAACTTTTAATGCTTTTAAAAATTTGAGATTTGTTGTAAATGAACAAAAGCTCTCAGTTGAAAAGCATTACTGCCCTAATCTCTGCTGAAACAAGAAGTGTGTGTTCTCTCCCTGTATTTAGTATGCAAAATATTCGCTTTCAGGGTATATTCACAGAAGTTCCTGCCAGCAACATCCGAAGAATTATTGCTAAGAGATTAACAGAATCTAAAACTACTGTGCCACATGCATATGCTACTACTGACTGTGACCTTGAGGCCGTCTTGAAACTAAGGGAAGAGCTAGCAAAAGGTTGGTAAATGTTATTTATATTCAAAATAAAGTGGCCTAAAGAGTAACTGGTACTAACTGGACTATCTTGACCTGCTATACAATTAGTTACACCCATGCTATTTGTACAGAAGGGGTAATCTGTATTGAGTTTCCATACTGGGCATCAGATAACCTTTCTTTCTCTGTGCTGTGACAATTTGTTTTTCTTCAAGAGCTTTGTTTTCATTTAAGACATTTCCTGTTTCACTGTCCAATATTAAGCAGCCACTTTGTGTCCATTTCTGCTGAGACTGGTGATTATTGTGATGTGATTTTTTGTGTGTGTATATTTACAAATCTAAAATCAAATAAAAGCTATCGTGGGGTGGGTTTTGTTTTAATTTGTTTTAGATCTGTGATTTCATTCAGCATGTTGTTTTTAAAAACCCCTTCCTATGGAAATAAGCATACATGTCAAATTGTCCTATTGACTCATGATTTTGTGTACCTTAATTTTTGGGCATCTGCTATCGCTTTAAAGAGGGCCCTAATTTTCAGACATTTTTGAGTACTGTTGTTCTGAAGACAAAGTCCAGTTGTGATCTCAGCCTAGCACCTGTAAACACTAATCATTTTAGAAAAATGTTTGCTATTCTGTTCATAGGAGAATCACTTCACGCTGTATTTCTTTTTTTCATAAATTCGTGGCCTATCTTCCTGAATCTAGAATGGGACCTGTAGCTCTCTCAACTGTTTCCTGAGATATTCCACCAGCAGGTACCTTTCACATTGAATGGTTCCTGCAGCCTGGATTTCTGTAAGTGGGAAATGCAGGCCACAGTCTCTGAAAAACCATACCAGGATGTGGGTAGACGCATCCATGATCTCATGGCATTTTTCTTAATATACACAATTGGAATCCTGGGCTTTGGTAGCCTAAAGCTGTTGAGGCTAATGAGAAATGAAAGGTAATCGTGTATGGCTAAAAAGTTTGTGTGGTTTTGTCCTCACCGGGGGGGGAGAAATAGGTGTGTTCTTAACTCATGTTGTTAGAACATGGTAACCAACAGGAGGTAAAATCCTAATAACCACAAGGCAATTTGTTGTTTTTAATAAAGTAGGAGATCTTACCTTGATTTGTGTGATTTATGCATAGGCTTAAAGTTAAATATTAGAGATAGTTAGAAAAGGGAATTTCTGTCTTGTGGAAAAAAACCTGACAATTTGGAAAAACTTCAGTTTGGACACAGTAGTTTATTTGGATAATTCTGGAACATTATTATATAATATAAAATTAAATGTATAAAAATATAAAAGTTGAAATATTTCCATCAAAATTGACACATCGCAGCAAAACATGTTAGGTTTTGATGGCACTGCATTGTCTATCAGAAAACAGTTAATTTTTTGTCACCTACCTTTTCAATATACATATATTTAGCACACACAGTAGTTTATTTGGATAATTCTGGAACATTATTATATAATATAAAATTAAATGTATAAAAATATAAAAGTTGAAATATTTCCATCAAAATTGACACATCGCAGCAAAACATGTTAGGTTTTGATGGCACTGCATTGTCTATCAGAAAACAGTTAATTTTTTGTCACCTACCTTTTCAATATACATATATTTAGCACC